CTCTGAAAAATGGTCAGAGTCAGAAGAAACAATTGGGGACAGCCAGAACAAAAGCTCTCTTGGTTTTATTTGATTTACATGCAATGAATATTAAGTGAATAAAACACAGATAATATAACTATTCTCCATATAACCATACAATCTCCACCCTAAGGCACAACAAATTATGGGACTTTGTAGAGGCTTTAGAGCTACATCCAGAACTTCTGGTAAGTAGCTCCAAAAATAGGAACTATTCCCCTTTCTGCACCACTTCTTGTACACACAGAATGCTTCTGGAATTCATATTAGAACATATCCAAAATATAGAGTTATATCAGGTATAAAAGACAAAAGATAAACAGCTTTTTATGAGCTCTGATTTTTAGCCCAACTGGAAACATCTCAGATGATCTTTAAAAAAATCAAATGTCAGCAGAACTGAACTCTCACTTAAGGGTTTGGGGAGGAGAGAACGCTTGGTTGCCCTTTAGCCTACTAGACCAGCAGTATTCCCATGACTATCCTAAGTTAAGAGGAATGAAGAATTGAACTGCTGCAGGGATTTAGCAACAAGATGAGTAAAAATTGCTAATGATCTTCATTCTTAACCTGACTGTAGTTAACCTTAACGTTGAGCCAGAATCTAGATCAGTCTTCCTCAATTTCTGCTTGGGGACTTCCAATCCAAGACCTCTGAAGGAAGGCAGCTTCAGCAAGAGTGATCTAAATATTTACAATATATGCTAGAAGCACTAAACATTTCTTTAAATAATGAATGTGCCTTGCTACAAATTCAACTGTGGTAATAAAGATTTTTATCTTCATACAGGGAGCACCTAATTCTTGCACAGTATGGAATATAATGGCTCTTAAGCAAAACTAACAGTGTTTATCCACCAAGCGGTTGAAACTGAAGTACCTCAGAGCCCATTCAATGTGGACATTCATATGTTAATGAGTTCCAAACTGTGGTAGTCTTCATTGCTTACCTGATCTTTTGATAGTATGATAGAAAGGCAAAAAATAGCTAATGTGGCTGTGCACACTTCAAAAATGATTCGGAAGAATTTCTTTGGATTTTGTAGCCCTAACAGATAATTGTATCTTTGATTGTATCTAATTGACATTTAAGTAGATTTGCCAAGAGACCATTCAAATTGGTCTTATGGAAAACTTTCCCTTCCTTTTTTAAAACTTCCACATTTATCCATACTTGCTGCAGAGCAAAGCTTCTGTATCACTCAAGCATCCTGATTTCTTCAGTGTTGATTTCCCCAGATAGGCATACCATACCTGGATTCCAACACCATATTGCCACTAGATGGCAGAAAAGAGATACAGAAAACCCTAATTCACTGCTGCTATCTGGGGTCATCTGGAGTTTTGCAATTAAAATATGGTATGCCTAATTTCTAGATTCATGGGACCACATAGAGTCCCTTCAGAAAACTGAAGTTGTAAAATGTAGTCGCAGCTTTTTCCACGGGATTCACAGTTTGTTCTGATTCTCTTTTGGTTTTTAAATAATGTGAATATGTGATGGGAAGTGCATCTGGAGTCCACCATGTCCAGGGATCTGGCTGTAGAGATGCCACTCTGCCTACTTGTATTTGTGTTGCGAACATGAATGTCTCCTCCATGATTATTTGCAGGTGTCCTTAAAGCTCCAGAATTACATTTGTTTCATGTCAGAGAATATTTACCTGGGAACATTTTCATATTTTCAAGCAGGAAATAGCAAAGTGTTCAAAGAAACTGATTTTTGTAGATTACAAACAATAATGTTTCAATCTGTGAGGGTCTTCAAGCAACCAGGAGCTGGAGTATTATGATGATGATCATTTTGAAGTGTTATTCTACTTATTTGGCAGATCTGAAAAAGTAATGCTTATGATTAAAATCTTATATTTAATTAAAACACCCTTTAAAGCAAAAAAGAGATAGATATAATATGTGAACATTCAGCATTGCTGAAAAGATGATTGGGGAATTCTAACGAATAAAGATATTAAATAGTAAGTGCCTTTGCTGTAACTCTTTGTTAGAAGATTATATTAAATTTTACTGAATTGTCACTGAAAAATGTAGTTCCATGTAGGAGAAGGCTTCAAAATTACTAGTCTTACCTGCCATTAATTTGCTTTCATAAGAGGTACAACATCTTAGTCATAATGGCACTCTCATTCATTTAGGGTACCCTAGTGTATATAGCCTTGCAGGACCAGATCTAGACCCATCTTAGCCCAGCATCTTGTTTCTCCCAATGCCCAACCAGATTCCTCTGTGATGTTCTTAAGATACGCTTCTCCTATTGTTGTTCCCCTACAACCTGAAGATAAAATTGAGTCTTCTAGCCTAATTGCCCTTGAGAGACCAGTCCCCCATGAATTTAATCCTCCTTTAAAACTATCCAAGTTGTTCATCATCACCACATTTTTGGATGATCCCTGGTCCTTGTTTTTAGAGAGGGAAAATGCTTTTTCCATGCCCTTCAGGATTTTATACATCATCATGCCCCCTCCCACTTCAGTCATCTTTTGTACAAGCTAAAGAGTCACCAATGTTCTAGCATTTTCTCATGAGGAAGATGTTTGAGATGTGTTGATCATTTTTGCTGCCCTCTTCTGCACTTTTTCTAGCTGTATTATATTCCTTTTCAAATAGGGTAACCAAAACTGTATTCTAGATATAGCTGTGCATAAGGACATTACAGAATTGACAGTTTTAATTTCAACCCCTTTCCTAGCATAGAATTCACTGTTTGCTCTAGTCAACTAGAGCAAAATTCATTAACTTCGATTGGAAGGAATAGTAAAATAACAAAGTAATAAACCTGAGGGGAAAAAAAGAAAATCAAATGTGAGGAAGGAGATAAGAATCTGTATTCTTGCACAGGCATTATAAAGAGGATTATTCCCCCTTTCCCATGATAGATACTATAGAGGGCTATTGAGGAACAGGACGAAGAGCCACTACCAAGGCAGCAGTCAGACAAAAGGGCCTGAGCCCAAGCCAAGAAAGTAATGTGAATAAACATCTCAGACAAGCCCTTCCCTAGTTCACATGAAGATAAAGGGAGGAAAGGGGGAAGCACATTCAGACTTACAAGATTCTGTTACTATAGCAGAATCTTTATATGATAAAGGTAGTACATGGTATTGTTTTCTCAGTCTGGTCTACCTTGAACGGCTAACAGATACGGGGAATACATATCCATTTTACCCCTATAAGTAGCCATCCATATCCATTTCCTTTCTCTTCTTGTTGAATCAAAGCAGTCGAAATTATTGTTATCCTGTACTGTGTTTCATTACTAAGATGATAAAAGACCTTGCTTGATCAAACTGTTCCCGTCCACCATACTGTGGGATGCCCATGATCAGCCACAATCAGGAAATGACTGCAGTAGCACTCTTCTGCTTGAATTCATACCAATTGGTCCTGGGAGGTTTGGTGCTTCTGACCCTGCAGGAGGCGTATAACTGTCGTGGCCCATAGCCATAGAGGGCTTTATGTATCATTAATTTAAGCCACTTTTACAGGTAGAACTGGAGAAGAAATTTGTATTTCCTGAACCCATGCATAAATTGAGGTGGTATACAGCGAGTTTTTTAAAACTTTTATGAATTTTGTAATGCAGTTTTCTAATGAACGAATGTGTATAGAGTATTATATTGGGGAAAGGGTGTGCACAAAAATGTATAATAAAAATATGTATAATAGAGAAAAACAGAAAAATCATTACACTCCAGGAGATTACATTCCAATATATATATTAGAAAAAAGTGAATACACAAAATCAGTTAGTCCCAATGTACATGAAAATGAAAAGGACTTATTAACCATATGTTTCTTAAAACAAACACACAAACACAAACTGATGTGGAAATAAGTTAAATGAATTTAAGATAGAAAAAAATGACACCAACAGACTTGTTCAAACCTGTTTCGACCTTTCAAATGTGTTGACTGTTGCCATATTTTGCGGAAAAGAATTTCCAGTTTGTGTTGCCTGTCAAATTTTGTCTGTCCTGAATTTCACAGGAGCTCAAATATTTGATGACTCTGGATCCTTGTATCATGGAAGAGGCAGAAAAGAACTCTTTTATCTACTTTCTTCTCAATAAATACCAAAAAGATTGGTATAAAGACATTATGCATAGGCCCTCTTATTTTCAGTTTCCTAATGATCGCTAACATGGAAATTATTTCTTTTCTTTTCTTTTCTTTTCTTTTCTTTTCTTTTCTTTTCTTTTCTTTTCTTTTCTTTTCTTCTTTATCACTTGCACAGTGTGTTTTAATGTTTTCATTGAGTTATACACCACAGCCCCATCATTAAATAAAAGAGCCAGATTGGTGTGGTGGTTAGGGCATCAGGCTAGAAACTAGGAGACTGTGAGTTCTAGTCCCACCTTAACTCAAAAGCATGAAAAATAATAAGAATTATATAGATACACTAATGCTGAAATTCTTTATAGATTTGCTTATCTACTTGTCAAGTACATTTACAATATTTCCATCTCTGGAATCATATAAATTAAAAATAACTTATTTTAGAATACGAACTGAAATAGCATAAGAAAAAAATCATGATGAATCAAATAAGACTATATGCTGATAGCTTATAGCTTCCCTACATTTTGCTGCCCTTTGATCCATTTTGACACACTGTATTTAAAAAAAAAATGGCTTGTGCATCATTTTAGATTTGATTCCAGATACTTTGGCATGCTTGAGAGCATGAACATAGACCTGTCTGCAGTTCTTTAAAGCAGCTACACAATCCTGAGAAAATATGTAGGTGCATTAAAGAGTTGCCAATAGGGGCCAAGTTCAAACTATTTTGGAATCAAAATGGAAGCATTCCTCAGCCCTAGAAAAGAATAACAATTTGGAAAGGGCAAGAATACCAAGAGTTTCCAAGGGATAGATTTATTTTCAGTGTTGTTCTGACAAGATCCCACAATAGATCTGCACTTTTTAAAAAATGCATGTAATATTTTAAATTTTTTTTTCAGTTGATCCTAAAAAAGGCCCAAGTCCAAATGCTACAAAGTCTAATCTTCCAAAACCATGTCAGTCTGGACTCCGTCCTCCTGGTTATTCACGGGTGCCAGCTGCTAAACTCGCCACTTTTGGTTTCGTCAGGAGCTCCAGTGTTTCCTCAATCTCAAGTAAATCAAACAACAGAGTCCAGAATGATCAAAGCAAAACAGCCAACCGTAAGTCAGACAAATTTTCACTCCAGATATATCTGTTGCAGAAAAACAGAGGGAAGTGAAGGAGAAAATGTATTCCCTTCTCATGTAGTTAATGGCATATTTCTGGATAGAATTATCACTGCTTGCTGTTGAATTTTATGACATAATGTTGGATAAATATTTTCTAGTAGTAAATTGCTTGTACAGTGGTACCTCTACTTACGAACTTAATCTGTTCTGTGACTCTGATCACAAGTTGAGTTGGTCGCAAGTTGAAGTAAATTTTCCCATAAAGTTCAATGTAATTACCATTAATCCATTCCGGCGTCCGTGGACCACGCGTCAGGGGCGGAAAAACAGCCGCTGACCATGCGGCAGGGCGGAAAAATGGCCGCGGACCACGTGTTGGGCAGAAAAATGGCCGCGGACCACGTGGAACGGGTGGAAAATGGCCACGGACCACGTGGAACGGGCGGGAAAATGGCCGTGGACCACGTGGAACGGGCGGAAAAATGGCCGCGGACCACATGGAACGGGCGGAAAAATGGCCGCGGACCACGTGGCACGGGTGGAAAAATGGCCGCGGACTACGTGGAATGGGTGGGAAATGGCCGCGGACCACGTGGAACGGGCAGAAAAATGGCCGTGGACCACGTGGAGTGGACGGAAAATGGCCGCGGATCCGGTTTGTAAGTAGAGGCGAGTTCGTAAGTAGAGGTAAATTTTTGGGGCCGGAGCTGATCGTATCTCGAAAAATTTGTAAGTAAGGGCGTTCATAAGTAGAGGTACCACTGTATAGGGTTTTCCTCTATAAGTTTGCTTAAGAACACATCTCATAACCTTTTTTGTATGTGTGCACGTACATGCTATATATACATGCATGCACATACTTGCACACAGATGAATGAACCACTTTCAAACAGATATAAGCACAAGTAGATGTTTTACTTCAGCATACTGCAGTTAAGAAAAAAAAGTCTGTCCTCTCTCTATATATACAGATAGTCCCTGGGTTGAGAATGCACGGGTTACAAACGACCCATAGTTAAGAACAGAGTCTACTGTAGCAAAATTTGAGTTAAATACACAGTGATTAGAGTTAAATACCCAATGGTTCAAGTTCATTACACAGTACTACTTATATAATATTATACAATAATACTATTCCGGCTTACATACAAATTTAACTTAAGGACAGACCTTGGGAACTACCAGTAATGGCAAAGAACTCTTAGCTGAATTGTTACCTCAAATCATATTTTCTGTAGCAAATGTTTATTTGATTAAACCATCAACACATCTTGAAAGGAATAAAATCCACCAGAGAGGAAGAAAACAACAACACGCTACCCTTCCTGGATATCCTTATCAGCAGAGGAAACAAGAGCAAATTAAAAACCCACGTCTATCGGAAGACAGCCCACACTAATCAAGTACCCCATTACCAACCTCCCACATGAGAAGCTGTGTAAGAACATTATTCAAACAAGCACAAATGCATTGCAGCAACCCAGAACAGCAGAAAAAGGAAACAGACGCCTATACAACATCTTCCAACTAAATGGATATCCATGCAACTTTATCAAAAAATGCCTGACCCCTCAACCTCCTACAACACAGCCAACACAAGCTATGAAAAGAATAACACTGCCATACATCAGAAACGTCTCAGAAACAACGAACAGACTATTACAACCACATGGTGTCTCTGTAGCACACAAGCTAACTAAAGCCCTCCAAAACATCTTAAGCAAACCAAAAAACCCA